CTGTGAATTGCTCCATAGGCGGCTAGGGTTTGAGAAGGTAAAAGAAAAAAGAAAAGAAAAAGCGAAGAGAGGTTCAAGTGAGGCTGCAATAGGGATTGGAGGCAGCACGTTGGTGATTTTGGGACACCCATTGGTTAAGGTAAAATCTGTCTGTACTGTTGATTATTAAGTTTATGTTGAGGAATTTAACAATCAATGCATTAAGGAGATTTGGAAGATCTATAGGTGCCTACTTAGGTTTTGAGAATTGGGTGTAATGTATAAGTGTAACTTTGGGTGGGTAATAGAAACAGTAGAGTTTTGTATCATGGGTAAGGGTGTGTTTGGCTATAAAGTTGGGTTGAATGGTTTAATTACTTGGATATTAAAGCAATACATTAATCTAATATGGTAGGGCTTTTGTGGGTGTATGTAACATGTAAAAAATATTAATTTATTTGAGGTTTTATTTATTAGGTTTGTGTGATTGAAGTGGTGAAATTGGGTGTTTGGAGTTGGTGTTGGAGTGTTATTTCTAAGCGTTTGAGGTAAGTAACCCTCTATCACTGTTGGTTCATTTTTAATCCTATCGAATCGTTTAAAATCATAAATATTTATTTAAAGCCTTCATGTTCTCTTAAAATAAAATATGGGTCAAGTATAAAACAACATCGAATATTATTATGAAAATTATTTGAATATTTGGTGAAACTATTCTGAAAATTGTACTAAACGTTTATTCTGAAAATATCGAATGTTTTATTTAAAATTTGTGTATTGTTTGAATTTTGAACATCACTCTAGTCTGACTATGATTTGGACCCTAGCCAATGGGGGTTATTTATTGGCATAGAAACTAGTTTCTTTTGGGGCTTTACCATTGGCCTATGTGTGGTTCTGGGCCTTGTCACGGGCTATGTGACCGTAGTCAATAAGACTTGGGTTTTGTGAATCAAATCATTGAACCATCTGAATATCGAACCATCGATTTGAACAATGAATTACTTTGAATTATCTTGTTGGCTTTTCATTTAAAATGTATTGTACATTGTTTATTTTTAGCTATGAAACCATCTTACAAAATAATTGTTCATTTATTGAACTGTAGAAAAATTTATATTTATTGATTATCGATTTATTTTTTATTTTTTTTATACTTGATCCAGCTGGCAGTGATGGTTGGTTATTTACTAGGCTGTCTAGCTTACCCTTATTTTATTTTTTTCTGATTCTAAGGAGTAGAGCTGCGCGGGATTTTTTTACATATGGGAGTGCCGAGAGTAGGACTATGATTTAAGTACTTGGATTATTTGTTTTGTTAATAGATTTTATTAGTGGACTTGGTGGATAATTTCATATGATAAGAATAATCAATTTTTTTATGGATTTTAGTATTATGATAATTAAGGATTTGATTGGAGTATTTTACATTGTTAGTTATTGTAAAACCCAAGTTTTAAATATTATTATTTTATTGGATAGATTAGTAATTAAATTAACTTATATGAGTCATTTATTAATATCAAAGAATTAGTTATGAGATGGCATTATATTTCCTATTGGTGAGATTGGGTAGATATAGGATTGGGAACGCTTATAATTTGATATAATGTTATTTTTATTTACTTGTTATAGGGACTTGAGAATAGAACAAGATGAGATTTTATTATTGATGCATTTAGGTTGCAATGGAACATGAGGAGACATTGGCAAATATGGCTAGGAATACACGCCAGGGTCAAACGAATCGACGGACTGGTAATAACAATCGGCGAGGGAATATGACTAATAATGGTAGTGGTTCTCAAGCAGTCGGAGGAAATCAGGGGCAAGAGTTGGGACACCAAGAACAAGCTGCAATCCCCAATCCAATTGAAATGGTTCAAGTGCTTCAAACGTTGGCCGGGGTGGTGCAACAACAAACCACCATAGGGAATAACTTGACTAGACTTATGGAGCAACAACAGCGGATGCAGCCAGGTGTTGGGCCACAACCAAGGCCACGTTGTAACATTACCGAGTTTAAGAAGATAGCCTTGGCATTTGACGGAGCCACAGACCCTTTGGAGGCTGAAAAATGGTTGACAGAAATGGAGAAGTTGTTTCCCGTTTTTGAGTGTACGGATGATCAGAAGGTGACCTATGCTACGTTTATGCTACAAGGGATAGCTAATGATTGGTGGCAGATGGAGAAGCGCATACACGAGCATGATGCCAACCCCTATACATGGGAAAGGTTTAAGAAGGAATTCAATGAGAAATACTTCCCTAGCAGTGTTCGTCTACAAAAACAGAGGGAATTTTTGAAGTTAGAGTAAGGGAATAAGACGGTTGCAGAATATGAAGCTGAGTTTACGAAGTTATCTAAATTTGCATCAGCATTTGAAGCAGATGAGGATAGTAGAGCACGAAAGTTTGAAGGTGGACTAAGAACGAACATTATGCAACAAGTGGTTCCTTTCGAGTTACCTACTTTTGGAGCAGTGTTGAATAAGGCTTTGCTAGTTGAGAGTGGCCTTACCAGAGCCCAAGAAGAGAAAGAAGAGAATTATAAGAAGAGGCCTAGTTCTTCCAACTTCCAAACTAACAATTCGAAGGGTAATGCTAAGAGACAAAACACTTCTTCGGTTGGGAGTTGGGGAAGTCGAACTATGGGTAGTAGTGTTGATAAGAAGAATGATCGGGTACAATGCACTAGGTGTAATGGATTCCATCGGGATAGTGAGTGTCGTTGGAATACTGGGGCTTGTTTCTCTTGCGGGCAACAGGGGCACAGGATATCTGATTGCCTTAATTGAAAGGGGCATGAGATTGAACAGAAAGCATGGACAAATAAAGAAGCATCAACAGACAAAGGGTCTTCAGGAAGTCAAAAGAAAAATGGAGGTCATAAGCCAAAGACTCAGGGTCGAGTGTACGCACTCACGCAACAAGATGTTTAGACTTCCAACACGGTGGTGTCAGGTACTGTTTTAGTGTCTTCTGTTTATGCACATGTGTTATTTGATTCTAGCGCTACAAATTCATTTGTGTCTATGGGATTTGTTAAGAAACATGGATGGAGATGTGTCTCTAGAGAGATCGACTTATGTGTTGAAACCCCGATATTTGCAAATCTCGTGTGGTTAGTATAGATGACAGGAAATTGCTTGTAGACTTAACTGTTTTAGATATGCGGGACTTTGACATAATTCTTGGAATGGATTGGTTGGCAACCAATTATGCTTCTGTGGATTGTCGAGGCAAAAATGTAGTATTTCAGATTCCTAATCAACCAGAATTTTGCTTTGTGGGTAGTGGAGTTAACACTCCTCTTCTGGTAATCTCACATTTGCAAGCTAGACGGTTGTTAAAGAATGGTTGCGAGGGCTATTTAGCGTCTGTGAGAGATACCTGTGAGACTGAATTGAAGTTGGAGGATATTCTAGTTGTGAAAGAATTTCCCGATGTTTTTCCTGAAGACTTACCAGGGTTACCACCTGATAAAGAGATTGAGTTTTCTATCGAATTGATACCCGGCATGGGTCCTATCTCCAAGGCTTCGTATCGGATGGCCCCAGTAGACTTGAAAGAGTTGAAGGAACAATTACAAGAGTTACTAGATAAGGGCTTTATTAGGCCTAGTGTTTCTCATTGGTGTGCCCGTTTTATTTGTGAAAAAGAAGAATGGTAGTTTTCGCTTTTGCATTGATTATCGAGAGTTAAACAAGGTAACAATTCAAAATAAATATCCTTTGCCAAGAATAGATGACCTATTTGATCAGTTGCAAGGAGCACAAGTCTTTTCTAAGGTTGACCTTCGTTTTGGCTATCACCAGTTGAAGGTTAAGGCAGAAGATATACCTAAGACAGCGTTCCGAACTAGGTATGTGCATTATGAATTTTTAGTGATGCCATTTGGGTTGACCAATGTGTGTAGACACCCCATTTTTGACCGTCCTCAAGACTTGGACGTCACCGTTTGAACACTCGGTGATTATCCATGTTTGTGTTCGTTTGGAGTTCCCGGAGGCCTCGGCTCGCGTGCCTTGCCTCAAGATCTCCGAACTCGACCGTTTAGTGTCTGGTTTCACACCAAACACTTGTGTTTTGCCTTGGAAGGGCAGGGAATGCCTTGTGAGGCATCCCCACTCACCACCGGCAGTGGCTAGAGGCCACCGGCTGATTTTTGCTGCCATCGGCACTATTTATTGCCGGTCGGCACATTTTGTTGCAGGTCGGCACTATTTTTTGCCAAAATGGCATTTTTGGCCGGCCGATTACTGTGCATCTGCTTTTGCAGATATTTTAAGACAACTGTCTTGCTTTTTGCTCCCCTCCATACACGTGTATGGAGGGATCTCCCTCTTATGAAGCTTGTCTTGTAAGCTTTACAAGACAAGAAGTTCCATTAAGAGAGGGGCTCTCTCTTGTTGAAAAGGGTTGGAGACTTTAGACATTTTAGAGACAAAAAACACTAAGAGAAGCTCTGGTTTTTAGGGTTAGGATCCATACATATCCTATCTCTTTTTTTCTCTCTTTGTGTTCTAGGTGTTTTGTGTCTTACTATTGCACACAAACACCTAGTGTTTCACCTTTCTTTGGCTCCTGAGGTTCTAAGGGACTGATTTTGGTGTTTTGGTGTTGGATTCAAGCCAAGGAGGGCCATTGGAGCATCATTTGTGAAGAGGTCTTCAATGGTAAGAATCTTACCCCTTTTTACCCCATTTTTGCATCTTGTTTTTGCTTGTCTTAAAATCGTTTTTGAACTTGGTGTATAATACAAAAAAGTTCTGTTTTTAGACCCTTTTGATTGTTTATTAAGAGTGTTTTGTGGTTTGGAGGTGTTTGACCCCTTCTAGGCCTTGAAAGGCCCCATTTTGTGCTATTTTGTATACGTTTCGAGACTTTGGTGTTTGGGCCTCTTCACCACTGAACTCTTGAGGGATTTCAGTGGTAAAGATGGTGCCTTGAAGTCTCCAAAAGGGGAGGGCCACCCCCCCTTGTTGTCCTTAAAATGGACCATTTTTGGTCTCTTAAGGGAGCACCATGTTAGAGTGTGTATTGATCATGTCTTGGCTGTTTTCCATGCTTAGTATGTCATAATATACCTCTGTTTCTTGTTGGTTTTGGTACACCATGCATGCTTAGCATACTTACCATGTAATGCCTTGTTATTGCCTTAATATGCCTTAGGTTGTTAGCCTTTGTTCAAGCATGTTTTAGGCTTAGTCTTGTGAAGCTTGTGTGCTTATTTTGCCATGATAGAGGTCTGTCCATGGTTGTTTGGGTCGGATTTGGCATGCATTGCATAGCCCCTTTGCATTCTGGCTTGTTGGCCTCAAATGTGTGAGTTTGTAGCATGCACTACTTGCTTCATTCTAATGATTTGGCATCATGTATAGCATAATTTCAGACCTTATAGCATGCTTGTATGTTCGCTTTGGACGCATCTTTAACGCTTTGGAAGCTTGTGTAGTATGCTCCATGTCTTGGCACTTGTGCATGCCTTTGAATTTGAGACATTTAGATGCCATCTAAGTGATCTTTTGGGCTTTATTTTATGTGCTAAAATTCTGTTTTTAGTCATTTAGTTCATGCCATGTTTGGTCTTGCTAAGTGTAGTTCAATACTCCATTGGTTTACTTTGAGTACTTGGACCATTTGCATGCTAATGTTTAGCTTATCTTGTTGCTTGGTTTGACATCATCCTAACATGATTTATAATGCTTTCCTTGCATGCTATTTGTCCATGATTGCCTCATTCAAATGTGCTTAGAAATAGCCCTTTGATGCTTAAGCATTTGGGCCTTAACATGTGCATGCGTGTATGTGTATTTTGGTCCCTTATTTTGGTCACTTCGGCCGCTGTTTTGGGCCTATTTAGAGTTGCCTAAATCGTGCATAAGTCCATCTTTTCATCCATTTGCATTGCCTCATGTTTGCTTGTAAGCTTGCATAAGTGTCTTGCCATGCCATGTTACATCCTTAGCTTGTATGCCTAGGTTGCATTGCATCTTGCATGCATGCCTTATTCCTTGACTTGGTGATAGGAATTGGGCCTTGATTTGTATGTTTGGCTTGCATTTCATTTGACATGAAAGTTGCATACTTGATTCTTTGGGCCATCATGCATGGAAATACGTGATTGGTGGTCCGAGAATCGAGACACATGCCCCTTTGAGTCACAAACATGATAAGGGACATGATCGGTGCATATATGCCTTTAATTGTGCTGCCATGCTTTGCCTTGCCCTCTGTTGCTGTCAATTGCAGATTCTGCAGGAACACTTTGCCGACCGACAGTTCCCAGTGCCGACCGGCAATACTTTCTCTGCCGATAGCTTCTCCAATGGCCGGTGGCCACATCCCACTGCCGGTGGCAATTCCATTCAGGCCGTGGCTACTCCTCAGTGTCCAAGGAAGCAGTCCTGAGGTTTTGACAACCTCCAGAGGAGTGAAGGAAGGAAAACAGAGGCAGCCTATGCATGGCGGCGCATTTCGCGACAAGATCCGGACATGCGCGCATTTGGCCCTCCCTCCGAGGCGGTTTACTGCTTTTCCTAGATTATTAATTTGCTTAGTTGATTAGCAATTTGTAATATTTAATTAGCTTGCGTAGTTAATTAATTTGTAATATTTATTCGCCCTCCGAGTGAGGGCAATTGTGTAATAAGTGTGCGTGAGTGTGTGTATGTCTTCCAACCCTACGTCTTTCTTCCCTTTTATTTATCAGCTTATGATGGTTAGTATTAGGACATGTTTAATTTAGCATACCTTATGTTAGCATGCGTGCATTATCCATTTGTTTTACATGCACCGGGCTCGGCGCATTATGCTAACTACATCTGTATTTCAAATTCCAAACTGAATACATGTTGGTTGTGCATTTTCACATGCCATGTTTAGGTTAGCCGAGCCTGTCTAGATTGCATTTTTGCATGCGATGCATTAGCCATTCTTAACATGAACTAGGACATGCATGTTTGCTAACTAGTTTATTGTTTTGGCACGGAGTACGATGTAAGTATTTATGCTTTAGCATCTCGCATGCGTGTGAATGTTAACCTGATAGCATGCTTACCATGTGGCTAGATGCTTATGTGTTATAAATTGTTTGAATGCCTGTGGGTGAAGGTTGGATTGTTTGAGTTTGGAAAACTCGTTGAAATCCGTGTTTTAGCCTACTTGCGAGTAGCAAATTCCAAAACGCTTTTCAAAACAAACGGATATGCAATGCTTATTTCGAAATTAGGCAACCTAGTCTATACTTGTTTGCTGCGCGCATAACATAGTAATTCTAGGCTAATAACCGGATTAAGAACACATAACGTTTTCAAAAACGGATATCACGGTTAGTAGAGGCCGATCTTCGGATCGGGCGAGAGGGGTGCTCATAGCTGACCTTCCCGATCGTACCCAAGCTCCCGAGCCGAGACAACTCCGGTGATGACGGACATGTGGCCTTCGCACCGAGTCAGGGTTTCCTAAATTCTCCCATTTTAAAATATTTAGGTGGCGACTTTGTATTTGGCAAAGCAGTCCATGTTTGGCACTACTTTTTCAAAAATCTGTTTTCTCAAAACGAATTTGCCAGATTTGGATCTTTGGTTCAGATTAAGAACCGTGGACACAAATTGAGTCGAACTGTAGTTAGCGAAGGCCCCACGCTGGGCGCGTGTTACAATGTGCTTGTCACTTTTATGATTTAATGAAACAGAGTATTTAAACCCTTTCTTAAAAGAATCAGACTTTGGTGTAGTTTTTATGATGACATTCTAGTGTTACTCGAAGAGTAAAGAGCAATGCGAAGAACATC